CATTGTCTTCATCACCACAACACTTAGAAAGCAATGTACCGAAAATTTGATATGTCCTCATTTACTATATACGGTTCAAAGATTAATACACAATCACATAGATATAAGTACGCAAAGGAATAGAGAATTTACTTATCTTAAATAGCCAATGAGAATTGCAGACTTGAAGAGGTGGAGGGAGGGGGGGGGGGGGGGGGAGGTTAGGTTGAATACTTGAGGCAGTGAGTATCGATGTAGTAGTTTTGTTCTAAAAAGAAATATTTTAAGGATAAAATAGTAACAATCTTGGTCAAACTTAAAGTTCTTATAAGCTAAAAATTCATAAGCTGGGGGTGACCAGCTTATGGCTTTTGGCTTATTTTTGACTTATAAGCACTTGGCTTATAAGCACTTTTAACTTTACCAAACGCGTAGATAAGCCGAAAAGTGTTTATAAGCTAGTTTAACCAGCTTATAAGCTTAGCCAAACACCCTCTTAATCTTAGAACAAAAGCACTTTTGTCAATTAGAAAAAAAAAAAGCACTTTTGACGACAAACTAGACTATTAGACATTGGTATATGCATGCATCAAATTTCGCTCCCGTTTGACTATAGATTTTGGCTTCATTTTTTTCATTTTTTTTTTAAAAACATTGTTTGTCTATGAAATATGATCATGTTTGGGGAAAAAAAAAATTTTAAACTTCCAATTTCCCAAAAACTGATATATGACAGTTTTTGACTAAAATATTTTCTTTCGCTCACAAAACTTCACCTTTCTTCAAATAAAATATATGTCCAAATACTTCAACTTTCAAAAGTCGATTTTTTAAGATTCAATCAAATCTATGTCCAAACGCTAGCAAAATCTCGAGTGCCAAAAATCAGCTAGAAGTTTCTCCAGATAAATTGAGTGTACTTTGCTTTTGTTTCAATTAAAGCAAACAAATCAAAAGGCCTTCGAGATAACGTTTACTGACTTACTTTAGTTGTTCTGGAAACTACCGGATATAAAAGGTGAAGGTGGCAAGATAGATAGGCAAACAAGTAAAAAATGATTGGATTTTCTTACTACAAACCCAAAAACTATGTGTCAATTACTATTAAATACAAAGATTCTTAATAAAAATCCCAAACAAAACTGTATTAGGCAAAGTATAAAACCTATCATGTTAAATTACATGAGATGTCAAGCGGTAAAAGATGACTTAACTCGATTGGTTCTAGCTCCAAAGAACACATGGAGATATAACAATTTACATATATTTTGTTGATTAAGCAATCAGGTATACCAGTATTCAAATGTGCCCTCGATAACTGGCAATTCTTCGATCTCCGCTTTTGAGCGCGGAAGTACATGGTCGTTGGGGTTTCCTTTTTCTCAATTAATTCGATTGTGTCAGCCTTGAGATTGGTCTGATATTTCGTTACGAGCTGCTGGATTGAAAGTCAAATAGATTTAAATTTCATATCATCGTCTTTTTCCATAGAAGATCAATAAAAATTAACGTTAAATCAACCTTTGTCTAAGGAAAAATTACTTGTAACAGCCATCTTGGTAATAGAGTATATTATCACATTTTTTATAAAGGTAAAAATCTCTAGATATTATTTTATCAAGAACGGTTGCAGTTGAAATGCAGCATTTAAAGTTGGTTAGGTACTTGGGTTAGTGTAATACCTCATTCTGGTTTATGGGCTTAGCAATACTCATCGTTTTTATTGGGCCTTCTTACCTTGTCAAAGGCCCGAAGTGCAGCAATAGCCACTTTTAAGCCTACTATTTAAAGTATATTCACAGTTTACAAATGTATTTAAAGATTAGCCAATTCACCCAAACTTCAGCACTAAGTATCCTAAATTTGGTAATCCGGGACTTAGTGTCCTGGATTTTAGAGCTGCTAATTTGAAATTCAAGACTAAGTGTCATGAATTTTGAACTACTAATTAAAATTCATGACATAAGATTCGAACTTCTAGACAATTTTTGAACTTTAGGACACGAGCCCTGAATTTATGAACTACTAAGATTCGAACTTCAATATACAACTTTTTAACTTTAGGACACGATGTCTTGAAGTTTGAATTTTGAGGTTTAAGCTCTAGAACATTGTGTCCTGAAATTTGAGTGAAATTGACTAATCTTTAAATAGATTTATAAGCTGGGGATATATTTTAAACGGCGTGCTTAAAATGGCCACTCGATATCATTTCCACCAAATGGGACTTATAATCGCATTTGTAATTGCGACTTATAAATCACAATTGGTAATTCCGACTTATAAAATGCGACAGGGACTTAGAAAATCACATTTCACTATTACCACTTATAGAAATTGAGATGTATAATTCACATTTGTTGATCGCGACATATAATTTGGTGATTACGATAAATCGCATTTGGTAATTGCCACTTATAAATCGCATTTGATAATTGCAACCTATAATCGAATAAAATGTATTCATCATCTATTACTTATTCCGTCTGTTGTTTTTTTGCTTATTTTCTTATATTCCTTCTAACAACACAAGACTAAATTTTTTGAGCCCAAAACTGCATTTTGGGAAAAATTCTAATCCCGTTATGTAATATTCTTTCTAGCCCCCTCTTCAAAATCAAATAATACAAAGAAGTGTGTGTGTGGGTGGGGGGGGGGGGGGGTTGTACATGTAATTTGGACATAAAACTAATACATATCAAACGGAATGAAAGCTACTAACCGACCAGTAATTGTAGGACCCAGATGTTTCTAACTCATTTGTTCATTGCTTCCACTTCATATTCTCATTTTCCAGTGGAAAATAAGTTTTCCTTTTTAAATCGTCTGTTCAACGTCATCATTCCCCATCATACACATATATAACATATACAATAAAAAGTCGATTGCATTTTTCAATGTCATGTTATTTATATGCACATTTACTAAAGAACTTTGACAAAATGTAGCATTTTCATACACTAGGTACAGGGTACCTAAAAGGATATTATGCAATGAATATGATATTTTATATTAGTTCGAGCAACTAATATAAAATTTTTGGTAGAAAGTGCCCTTTAAATGGGCCTACACTTTTCAAATTTGGATTAATCAGGTCAGAATTTTTTGGGTTTTTACATCTATATCCGGTTTTGGGATCACAATTGAACCTACCTATACTCACCTTTTAATTTTTTTGGTCTCGCACTTTACGATCAACTTCAGACTTATCGGGTCTGAAGTTAAAAAAGAAATTAGATTGAAGTGAAAAAATTACACTTAACGCCAAATAGGTCTGAAATGCAATCAATGGTTTCATGCACCCAAGGCCAATAAGTCTAAAGTTAAAAAATGTACTTCAGATGCACGTAAGGCTAAAAGGTCTGAAGTGCAACCAACATTTTAATGCACTTAAGGCCAAATAAGCATGAAGTGCAAATTGCTCAGAAATAGAAATTTGTTCTTCGAATTTTAACAATCTAATATGCAATTTAATACCTAAATCTACTCCAAATGAGCTCAAATTTGAAACATAACCTCTAAGTATCATCAACAACAAACCTCAATTTTCAATTTGTCAAAACAATAACAAATATAACGAACCCATTTTGCAATTAAGAAAAAGAAGAAGAAGAAGAAGAAACTCTAAACAATAGTAAAAAATAAAGCGTCACAACAGTTCACCACCGTAAAACTCATAAACTACCTTAAAATATATTCACAAGCACCATATAAAATCATTGTTATCCGAAGAAGAAGAAGAAGAAGAAGAAGGAGAAGGAGAAGGAGGAGAAAAATGCCTGAAGTTGTTTAAACAGTGTGTACTGCAAGTTAAAAAAAAAAATTAAAAGATGGGTACATGTTAAATGGGGACGACCAAATAGGGTGCGCCGTGCAATTGTTACTAAATTTCGATAAGGATTCTTACACAAGTTGCTTGCCAGATTCAATGTTTACTTTTTCTAACCGGTATATATATCATTAATTATACATAATTGTATATATATAATTCATAAATTATATATATATATATCTCTGTAAGTTACTTTAATTTAAAGTGATTAAGTGACCACTATTTGAATTATTTTCTCTTCGATAACCGATGATTAAACCAAAAATAAAGTAGTACCGACTAAAAACACAATTTGATAGAAGAAAAAGAAATAGGAGGAACAACGCGTGAATGAAATTTAAAAAGTCATGACCAAAAAAAAAAAGAATTTAAAAAGTCGTTTTCAACCAATCATTTTAAACCAAACAAAAATGGAAAACGAAACAAACTGTAAGGAAAGGTCGGCAGACTTATAATTTAACAGAAGCTTATGATTGGATAATATATTCTTAAATGCTACCCCCAAAGTCACTAACATGGGTCCCACTCTTGCCGCACGTTTACTAAAATAGCATGAATTCAAAAGTTTATCCTATATACCCAATTTTACACATTTAAATAATATTATCCACCTCAGCCATGACCAAGTGTCAGATAGTCAGTCACTTCAATATAATTGAACTTTGAAGCCAACCCCTTAGTATTAAATTAATAATATACGTGTCGTTTAGTATAACCAATGGTGCGTAGATTCTTTAGGGGTCGTTTGGTAGGGTGTATAATAATAGTGCAGAATAAGGTATATTAGTAATGCATGAGTTAGTAATGCAAGCATTAGTTATGCAGATGTTATTTCTTATCTACTGTTTGGTGTGGTGTATTAAAATTATAATGCATTGCATAATTTTTAAGAAAAATAATTGTTAACAAAAATGCCCTCCATATTCTCTAGCTTTAATGGACTTTAAGGATAATTTTATCTTTAACCATACTAATACATGCATTAATAGCCTTGGTATTACTAATGCTATGGTTTTCTATGCATTACTTATGCAGAGTATAATACCAAGTATGACATAGGTTGAAAAAATATACCAAATAAGGTATAAGTAATGCCGCTAATGTTTGCATTATTTTTTTTAATACCTACTACCAAACGACCCCTTATTGTTTTATTACATACTTTAAATGATTTTTGCATTTTGTCTTCATTTATAAATAGTTGTACTATCAAGAATTGAGATTGGTCGGGAACTGTACTTTGCTTGTCAAAATTCAAAAAGGAAAAAAAGTTGGGTTTTTTTTGTCTTTCTTGATTTGGGTATAGAATGGAGGAAAAATATGAGCTTTTGAAAGAACTTGGTGCTGGGAATTTTGGGGTGGCAAGGCTAGTTAAGAACAAGAAGACAAAGGAGCTTTTTGCTGTCAAATATATAGAAAGAGGGAAGAAGGTAAGTCTACTTTTGTCAAAAAGGTTACTTTTGTAATATTATCTTTTTGTTTGTAGATACTGTCATTATTTTTCACTTTTTTAGGTTAAGGTTTGTGCTGGATTTGCTTATTTGGTTGATATTCCTAGTGAACCCTTTACTTGATTAATTTTGATATTTGTGTCATTTGTTCTTCCATTGCCAAAAACTCAAGCTTGATTTATAGCCTGTTTGGCCAAGCTTTCTTTTTGGCCAAAAGTGCTTTTTTTTTTTGCCAAAAGTACTTTTGGCAAAAAATTGAGGTGTTTGGCCAAGCTTTTGGAAGGAAAAAAAGTGCTTTTGAGGAGAAGCAGAAGCAGTTTTGGAGAAGCAGAAAAAAGTAGCTTCTCTCCAAAAGCACTTTTTTGAGAAGCACTTTTGAGAAAAATACACTTAGAAGTAGTTTTTTAAAGCTTGGCCAAACACTAATTGCTGCTCAGAAGTGTTTTTCAAACTAATTAGCCAAACACAAATTGCTTCTCACCAAAAGTACTTTTGAAAAAAAGCACTTCTCAAAATAAGCTGATTTTTGCAGCTTGGCCAAACGGGCTATTAGTTTTGGGTAGATTTTTATATGCCAGTAGCCTTTTCCAGTTTAATTTTTTTCCACTTACCTTCGCAAAAAAAAAAAAAAAATTAAAAAAAAAGGGCATTTGTTTGAAGCTTTGGAGTGTTTGAGTTTTGGAAAGAGTGTTTATCCAAGCTAAATCTTGAAAAAGAAGTTACTTGTACTTCTTGAAGATCTCTAAGGGCAACCTGATGCACAAGGCATGCCGCGTTCACGCAGGATTCGCGGAAGGGCCGCTCCCAAGAGGTGTTATATAGACAGCCTGCGGTAATGCATTAGTGGCTGCTTCCACGACTCGAACCTGTAACTTATAGGACACAAGGAGACAACTTTACCATGGCTCCAAGACTCCCCTTCAAAATATCAGTTTGAAGACAACTTTCTTGAAGATCTCTAATACTCCTATCAGTTTTTCAATATTTTCAAAACTGGAAATAATATAACTCCAAAAACTAGTTTTTGAGTTTTAGTCAGTAAGCATTTTGGGGGAAAGTGGATATGTTTCTGATAAATGGTCAAGATAACCCCCCCCCCCCCCTCCCCCCAACCCCAACACACACACACACAATACCATTGCTGTTTAACTGAATTTGTTATTTTAGCTGGAATTGCACTTGCCTTTTATTTATTACTTATTTAACTATAAGCCAAGTATGAGAGGAGCAATTTTGGCCCATTGCAAAGAGCTTTTTAAGTACATTTTTCTCATCACTTACTAGGTTGTGTCAAGATGCTTTCAGCTTAATGTAACTGTTATTATTAAAGTATCGTAGCAACAGTTATCTCCTTTGATTCTGTTTGCCTGATGTAACAGTTATTTTATTCTCTTCTTGTCTCAGATTGATGAAAATGTGCAGAGAGAAATTATAAATCATAGATCGTTGGGACATCCAAACATTATCAGGTTTAAAGAGGTAAATACTTTTATACCTGTTTGTTAAGAAACTGAGAAATGATATCTTCCCTTGTACCTGTTTTTGTAAGCAGATTGTATATTTCAATAGTTCTGTTTATGCTAGGGGAGAGCATATTGAGTAATTCCGTGCAGTTTTAAATTAAAACTTCAACAAACAATCGACGTGTCCTTTTGTAGTCTATGCAATTACTACTCCAATTACATAAGCCTTTCTTGAGTAACTGTAACATTGACTCTTATAATGACTTTATGTGGAATGTCAAATGACGAGTTCATGGTTCTTTACGGGAATTTTTCAAAGGGTGTTCAAGGTTTAATATGTATTTATAAAAAAGTAATTCTTGACCTATATACATAGTATAATTTTCTATATACTCCATATAATTTCCGAAGGGTGTTAGTTGAACACCCTTCACTCTATGTGGCTACGCCACTGCCTTAACCTTTAGTTGGAGCTCTTTGGTTGATCCAATTTTTGATGTTAGTGGGAATAATTGGATTGACTGTTTTCTTGCGCCCACTATCTGGTGTTGTCTGATGATGATTCTAGAATGCTGAGAGCTCCGCAATCTCATAACACCACTTTAGACTTGATAAGTCACAGTTCTATTTTCCATTTAGCACCATTCGTCTTACCTTAACAAGCTGATTATGTGTTCAGTTCCCCTGCATTTCGTGCCGTTTCATGTAATATTTGATGCTGACGCTAAAAGCAACTAATCTTTATTAGGGTTGAGCTGTATCTTCTGTATGGTATAAAGACAGATCTAGGACCAAGGTTTCATTTTATGTGTTGCTCCATTTCGTTGAGCATATATATATAGGATTTATTGTCACAACAGTGGAATCTCATGGGCTAAAAGCATTACTTTGATCCTTTATTACTTGTTATTGCATTCTTTTTTTTAAAATCTTACAATCCTTTCTTTCCATAGTTATTGTCATCTGTAACTTTCTTTCCTTGGCATTTGACACATCTATGGTTTCTTTCGTTTAACAATCAATCACTGTTGAAGATATTATTAAGTAAATAAAAGTGTACCCTCCGTAACAATTTAAGTTTTTAGATGAGATGATTACATACTACAACATAGTATCAGAGCAGTGGTCTCTTGCTACGTCATAGTTAACATGACTTCCTTTTTTTGGGGTAGGTCTTGCTAACTCCATCGCATTTAGCAATTGTTATGGAGTATGCAGCAGGTGGAGAACTTTTTGCTAGAATATGCAGTGCTGGCAGATTTAGTGAGGATGAGGTTATACTTTTATCTCCAATTCCGTGTATTATACCTGTGTTTGATGAGAATGAGATGTTGTACTTATCATCTTCGTATTTGTATCAATCAACGACAGGCTCGTTTCTTCTTCCAACAGCTAATATCTGGAGTCAGCTACTGTCATGCTATGGTAAATTTGAAATTCATTGACAGTTTTACTTTTTACAATAGTAATGTTATTTCAGTGAGTTCCTAGTCTGAAGTTATACTTCTATTTTTCCTGTAGGAAATTTGTCACAGGGATTTGAAACTAGAAAACACTCTTCTTGATGAAAGTGCTTCACCACGTGTAAAAATATGTGATTTTGGTTATTCTAAGGTTTGTTCTTCTTTTCTCGTTGAGAAGCTTATTGCATTAAATCTAACATGATGTAATTTTAATATATGTACTTTTTCATGCAGTCTGGATTGTTGCATTCCCAACCAAAATCGACAGTAGGAACACCCGCTTACATTGCCCCTGAGGTCCTGTCACGAAAGGAATATGACGGGAAGGCAAGCTCTCTCTTCTTGAACCATGATCTGTTGCTACAAAAAACTTTTTTTTTTTGGTGTCAACAGATTATTTCTTTATCACCTTCGTGCCTATGATACCAGCTAAATAAAACCCTTAGCCATGATCACAAGCATTACATTGGCCTAATAATATTCTACCTTATTATTTTCCCCTTATAGTGGCTGCTGTAAAATATGCACAACTTTTTTTATATCATTGGTCCCATTGGACTGTATGTAAGAGTTTTATGGAAGCTTTTATTTCTCTACGGCAACAGACTCATTTCGAGCAGCTTAAACCTAGTTGCTTCACTTGAATATTCTGCTCATGTTATAGTAATGCATTTTCAGATAGCAGATGTGTGGTCATGTGGGGTGACATTGTATGTGATGCTAGTTGGAGCTTACCCTTTTGAGGATCCTGATGATCCAAAAAATTTCAGGAAAACCATTGGAGTGAGTTCATATTTTAACTTTGATGTTTGGCTAAGTAGGAATGTTTGTCTCAAATAGCTACTTAAGGTTGTTTTGTTTTGTTTTCAGAGAATAATGAGTGCCCAATACTCCATACCGGATTATGTACGAATATCTGCAGATTGTAAGAACCTCCTTTCGCGAATCTTTGTTGCAAATCCCTCAAAGGTAACATTCTTCCTTACTCATCTCACTTATCAAAATAGAAAAAAGATTACAGCTTGTTTGGATGGTTGTTATCTGCACAATGTTTGGATAGATTGTATTGTTTGTCGATGTTTCATGATGTCATGCACCAATATTGTGAAGAATAAACTTGTAATATTATAAAGAAAAATTAAGGTACGAGGTAGAATTAATATATAAAAAGGTAAGGTAAAGGATAAAATATGATGATTTAATAATAAGGGCAAGATGAGCGGAAAAATAAGGTAACGACGCGACCACACCAAATTGGTCGTTCCATAAAGTGGCACTTTTCATCGTTACATAACAACGGATTTAACGATACGATACAATAGAATTTAAGTAACAATCAAAACAAATATTGTATTTAAAGTAATAATACGATACAATACAACAGGTAACAACCATACAAACAAGCTGTTAGCCTAATCATGACTCGAGTATCGTTCATTAACATAATATGTACTGCAATATGCACAGAGAATCACTATTCCTGAGATAAAAAAACATCCTTGGTTTTTAAAGAATCTGCCAAAAGACTTAATGGATGGTGAGCATTCCAAATATGAAGAGGCTTCAGAGCAACTACAGCAAAGTGTGGAGGAAATCATGAGGATAATACAAGAAGCTAAGATACCTGGAGAAGTGTCAAAACCAGAAGGACAAGCTACTGTAGGGACAACAGAACCAGATGATACTGAGGATGACCTCGAATCGGATATTGACAGCAGCAATGACTTTGCTGTTTATGTCTGAGGATGACATTATCTACTGGACTTTAAAAAGAACTTCAGTATGTAATCTTGAGTTGTTTATTATGGTGTATAGAAGACTTAGTTATATTCTGGCCTACAGAACTATATTTATGAGTTCTAAGGTGTGCACTCAAATTGTTAGATGGATGTAATATTGCAGAAAACAGATTTCTATTTTGTACCTATAGATGATATTCTCTGCTCCTATGTGTTAACAATCAATTTTTCAGCTGAATTGATTTTAGTTTAGTGACCATTCTTAGGGGACGTTTGGACATAAGAATTGTAAAATTTCAAAAAAAAAAGTATTTTTTTTTTCAAGTGAAAATGGTATTTGAAAATTAAAGTTGTGTTTGGACATGAGTATAATTTTGGGTTGTTTTTAATTTTTGTCAGTGATCTGAGTGAAAATTTTGATTTTTTTTTGAGTTTTTTAAATTTTCGAAAATTCCAAAATTCATCTTCAAGTGAAGATTGAAAATTTTATGGCCAAACATTGATTTCGAAAAAAGTAAAAAAATTCTTATGTCCAAACGGGCTCTTAGCTATTGTAAGTGAGCCACATCCTTTTTGGTTTAACCATTTGATATCCGAAGTCAACTGTCCCGCTAATGTGGGTCTTGTGTCAGGATGCACACTAAGGGGGTAAAACGCTTCCTACCAAAGTGTTCTCCATTCCCACCTCTCTAACCCGAAACGTCTGATTATGAATGGAGAGATCCTCATCACAATCCACGAGTACTTGCCATGACACGTTTGGAAAAAAAAAAACTGTGTGGTAGTAGTTACTGTTTGTTAAAACTCATTTACCTTCTCAAATATTTACTTTTTAAGGACTATGCATAATGCATCATCTATGCTACTTTTAACCCTTTCCAGGCTAACAGAATGTTAATAATCAAATTAAGAGGGAGAAAGTAAAAAGATCTACCTGAGAGTACTAACTGTTTTATATATATGTTGATGAAAGTTTTAAGTCTTGCCACACCCTGAAGTAATTTACCGACCACCAAAGTATGTGGTGCAGTAGATGGGATGGGACTGCTCCTCCCTTAACCAGAGGTCTCGAGTTCGAGCCCTGGGTATGGAAAAATCCTTTGTAGGGAGCGCTCTCTCCCGAAAGGGGCCTTACGNCCCCCTCCCGAATGGGGCCCTATGCGGCGCGAATCCAGATATAGTTGGGCTCCAATACGGGTACCAAACACCGGGTGGAAAACCCAAAAAAAAAAAGAAGTAATTTACCGCAGAAAATAATAAAATGCAAGCTTAACTAAAGAGAGAAATGTTCTGCCTCGTAGCATTCCCATTGACTAATCATATATCCATGACTATGAGTGAATGACCTTCAATTAATTTATGCTAATAATTTATCGAATATTCCTAACTGAGCATCAAACAATAAACTAGAAGCAACCTATTAAAAGATGCACAATAGTTTTTTGCAACTAAGGCTAGTTTATGAATACTATTTTTTTTAAGTAAAATCAGTTTGTGTGAAATTTTTATCTCCATCAGATATTTAACTAAGAAATATACCAAAAATAGCAGAAACTGAAAAACTACACCTCTAGTTGTGAATTCATGTTAAATCCTACGGTTCCAATTAAATCTAAAAATCAAACAACAACAACAACAACAAAGAACCCAGTATAATCCCACATAGTGAGTATGGGGAGGGTAGTATGTACGCAACCTTACCCCTACCTTGTAGAGATAGAGAGACTGTTTTCAATATACCCTCGGCTCAAATAAGGATAAGCACCACATTAAAGAAGAGAAAAATAAGGATCGCGACAGTTAGAAGCTAGGTAAAAGCAACATAAATAACAATCAAATAATTAGGAGAACGCAATGAAAGAAATGACAGGTAGTCATAGAAATCTTGTACCAACAGAATACTAAAGTACGTGCTAATATTACCGGTATGATAGGGAGAACACTAAACTAACTACCCTACTACCCTAATGTTCGACCTTCACACCTTCCTATCATGTCCTCGGTCAGCTGAAGTTGCACCATATCTTTTCTAATCACCTCACCCTAATTCTTCTTCGGCCTACCTCTACCTCTCTTAGGCCTTCCAATGTCAACCTCTCGCACCTCCTGACCGGAGCGTCTGTGCTCCGCCTCCTTACATGTCCAAACCATCTAAGCCTCGCTTCCCGCATCTTGTCCTCCATTGGGGCCACATCCACCTTGTGTCGAATAACTTCATTCCTAATCCTATCTAACCTTGTGTACCCGCACATCCATCTCAACATGCCCATCTCTGCTACTTTCATCTTCTAGACATGGGAGCTCTTGATTGGCTAATATTCAGCCTCATACAACACAATCGGCCTGACTACCGCTTTATAGAACTTATGCCTTTGAGTTTTGCTGGGACCTTCTTATCACACAAGACACCGGAAACAAGTCTCTATTTCATCCATCCCGCCCTAATACGATATGTGACATCTTCGTCGATCTCCCCATCCCCATGCATAATAGACCCAATGTACTTAGAACTTTCTCTCTTGTGGATGACTTGAGAATCTAGCTTCACCTCCCCTTCCACTTCCTGAGTCATCCCAATGAATCTACACTCCAGGTATTACGACTTAGTCCTACTCAACTTGAAACCTTTAGACTCCAGGGTTTGCCTCCACATTTCTAACCTCGCGGTAACGGCGCCTCGCGTCTCATCAATTAATACAATGTCATATGCAAATAACATGCACCGTGACACCTCCCCTTGGATGTGGTGCGTCAATACGTCCATTGCTAGGGCAAACAAAAAAGGTTTAAGAGCCAACCCTTGGTGCAACCCCATCATGACCGAAAATCTAAAAATCAAAAAGATTGTTAAATATTTGACAGAGACAAAAAAATTCTCACTTCTGGTAAATTTAAAGGACTAAAACTGCTCATGGGTATATTTGAGGGATCATTTTAAACCTACTTAAAATATAGGAAACCATTGTGTCATTTCCCATTACTATTATTCTTGTTCACTCTTCAGAAGAAAACAGAGCCGATCCCGAGATTTTCCTCCAGCAATTAGTCCATACCATCTCCTTCTCCGGAAAATCCATTTGTAAGTTCTTCTTTCTCTAATCTGCTTCTTATGTTTCCTATCTTCATTCCAATTCAACTTTCAGTCAAACCTAATTGTTTTTTTAATTAGGTTGTTATGATGTGTGATTTCCTGATATCTTTTGTTAGGCGTTGGTAGTTTGTTCTAATTAAAGTTTAGAAATCTCAAAACTTGAAGTTCCACAGAAAAGAGAAAATTATAGGAGGCGGCATGGATTCAGGGGATTCATCAATGTCTAAGGTGTTTCATTTTTCATCTGGAAACCCTCGCATCGAAGAAACCAGGGGTGTCATGCATCTCTTCTGCAACGAACAACCTTCTTTTCCGTCTCAGTTACCTGTAAGTATTGGACGGAATCCTTCCATTTCTGTTTCACTGATTGTGGCGTTTGTTACTATACTGGAGGAATTTTTTGGGCTTGTTTGATTGATTTTGTTGAAACTTAGTTTGTCTTCCATCTGAAAAATATATTATTAAGTACTGGAATGATATTGGCCCGAATAGAATAGAACAGAATACAATACCAAGAGAAATGATTTCTTACATTCATGTAGTCAACCCCGACTACTCTCAGGTTGATGCAATAGTTGATTGATATTGATAGGGTTTTGTGCTCAATCTGATAATTTACTCTCTTTTAAGCTTAAATATGCATACTGAGTTCAATTTGGATCTTCCTATAATTCTAACTCATATTATTGGACAATTTTTTTTGGTCCGGCATCCCTCAAAGTGTAATTTTGTTATTTAACGATAACAATTGCTCTAAATAAAGTGCAATTTCTATGTAGGGTTTAGAAGGTTGGGGGCTTTATTTATACGTAGAGATTCTTTAGGGCTCGAACTCTATAACTTTTTGACTATACATTTGTAGATTCACCTGATAGCTATGCAACTATCATATGTTCAAATTCTAGTAGCTTTTGAACTTTGAATTGTTTGTTTCTTGTTTCCCTTAGTATACGGCATTTTGATCTTATTGTGTTATTCAAAATTGTAGAGCAATAATAGGTCCAAATTTTGTATTTTACTAAAGGTCAATATACGAGAGAGATACACCAACCAAACACTTCAACCCCAAGCTAGTTAGAATAGACTAGATGAATGCTCACCATCCATGTTGATCCTTTAGAATTGAAATCCAACAACTTATCCAGTTCTGTTGTGTTGTCTTTAGGTGGGAAGAAAGCCTCTCCTCTGCGTGCTCAGTGTTCCGAATCACATGACATATGCAGACTTTTGTCAGTTTTGTGGTTCATTTGTTCAACATATGTTGGAAATGCGAATTGTCAGGTATTCTCTCCAATAACTTATGAGGTCTTTGTTTAACTGGTTGTCTGTGATTCCTTCTGAACTATGGTGTCTTGTGTGAGGCTTTAGGAACGACGGAATGGAAGATTGTTACAGTATATTGATCAGGTTTGATGAGCAGAAAGCTGCAGATACTTTTCACAAGCATTTTAGTGGTAGAAAATTTTCATCTCTTGAGGTATGGTTGCTCCAATAGTTCTCTCCTGCTTTGGCATCAGAATAAGTATCTCATAACATCAAATTCCAGTTTCATACTTCGTTCTTGTTTTTGTTTCTTTGCTTGCAGGACGAGACCTGCAACGTGTTTTTTGCTGCTGATGTTCATTACACTGGTTCAATTGAGCGCACCCAGTCCATACCTGCAAGCTCTACAGAGCAACCATTCTGTCCTGTTTGTCTTGGTATTTTTCCTAGTCTAGTTTCAAAATGTTTTTCTATTTTGGAAATGGCATATTTTGAAATTTGTAGCTTCCATATTCAACCACTAAGCACATCTAAAGTGAGAATCACTCCAAAATGTTAGAGATGTTCATATTCATTCGGTCACTTTCCTCCAAAATGTTTCTAACCTCCAAATTTAAAAGTTTAACGTTTGCAAGCAATTTTTTATATTATGTGTCCTTGTAACTCAGATTCATGGCACTTACGATTTGAAATGTCCTAAAGTAACTATTTATTCATATACACTGATAAAAAGGAAACTATCTATTCATATATGGAGGTCGAGGATTAGAGTAGTAGAGCATGTAGTCTAGAGTGTTCATAAGATAGTATTGGCACACAGTCTCGCTTTCTGTTGGTAGTAGGTTTTTATGACTAACCGTTGTTTTCTTTCATTGTTGATTACC